ACACACACACTCACACACACACTCACTCACTCACTCACTCACACACACACGCAGAGAGACACACACTCTCTCGCTCTCACACACACACACACACACACGTTAGATAGATAGAAATAGTCAGATTATAGATTTTATTGCATACCTGCTGTCACTGCCAGACAAAAAACTATGATAATTGTGGATAAATGCGATAAAATGAGCGGACTGGACTAGGGCTCCACGATAAATCGAAATGGAATCGAAATCACGATTGGACAGAAGCTGCGATTGTCATGCGTATCTTTCAGTGAAGCACGGTTCTGTGATCAGCAGTAAATCTCCATCCGAAGGCCAGAGGGCGCTCTCGCGCTGAAACTCCAAATATGCCCCGCAGAAGAAACTCAGGAAATCCCTATAGCGGTAGCTGGATAAACAGAATATTTAACTGCTTTCATTGATTCAGCGTGACTAATAAACACACGACTACGGCAATATATGGTTTATCTGAGTGCTTATTATTGTAATTTTCATTAAAATAAAGTATATTTATAATGCAATGCCTTTATCACTGCTTAAATACTATGAAATATGTTGCGTGCCTTATTCTGTGTAAGAAGCCACATCATCTCACAGAAGGATTTATTTCAAACACTCGACTGACGTTATGAAGTGAGTTTGGAGTAAAAATATGTTATTAAATGTGGTATTTTCACATGCTTTCAGATGGAGCAGCATTTACTTCACAGAGCCGTAGTTCACTGAGAAGCTATGCAGACAGCTGTCATTATCGCTAACGATTTCTTCAAATTCATAATCGCGCAATAAAATAGTCTGCGATTTTTTTTTTTGTTTTTGCGTAGCTTGTCAGTGAACTACGGCTATGTGTAGTAAATGCTGCTCCATCTGAAAGCATGTGATGATGATTTCCTGCTGATTACAGAACCGGCATTACTAACAAACGGGAGCATTTTTGACGATCATTTCTGTCCAGTCTAGGGCTGCACGATTAATTGAACGCGCATTTGATTAATCGTGCAGCCCTAGACTGGACAGAAATGATTGTCAAAAATGCTCCCATTTGCAGCGCACACTTCTTATCAGAAAGGTTCAATAAAGCTTTGTTGTTATGGATTATGGTTTGTGTTACGCGTCTATGCATCTCACGACTATGTCGTATATGAAATAATGTCTGTGTGCAAAACAACAAAGTGACGATTTATATGCTTAATCATCTGTAGTTGTACATACATTGGTGTGATTGATTGTGGCTGGATTTTTTTGTAAAGGAATAATCAAATACAGAAAGTTCAAAATTAGTTTCTGGAATTTTTATTTCTAGAAAATATTCACGTCTTAATATGCAAAGGTACTGTAATGTCACTGTAAACGTACATAATTTACAAGAGGTATATACTTTAAAATAACTATTTGGCCATTACATGATACATACATCTTCAAATAATATTTCCATCACACTGAATGTCTTAACCTTTTTTTATTTTATTTATTAATTTTTTTTGGCCCAGTTCACGTAGCTGTAAAAATAGTTGCCTGCTGAAATTTAAATATAGATGTGTGTATATATATACACATCTTCACGACTAGATAGACACAGCTGAGTGTGTCACGTTAGGTTTCTCTATAGATGTGAGTCATCCTTTTGGTTGGCTCATTTGAGCACTCCGTCACTGTAAGTCTATATAAACCACAAGTGCTTTGTATGAATGAGAAACAGCAGTAGCAATGCTAACGCGCTCCTCGTCCGCAGGAGACATCCACGGCCAGTACACGGATCTGCTGCGGCTCTTCGAGTACGGCGGCTTCCCTCCGGAGGCCAACTATCTGTTCCTGGGAGATTACGTGGACCGAGGGAAGCAGTCGCTGGAGACCATCTGCCTGCTGCTGGCCTACAAGATCAAGTACCCCGAGAACTTCTTCCTGCTCCGCGGGAACCACGAGTGCGCCTCCATCAACCGCATCTACGGCTTCTACGACGAGTGTGAGTCGCTCGCGCTGGGAATACACAGACCAGTGAACCATCGCAACTGATAATAAAGCTGTGCACTGATTTCTGTTTTGGACAAGTCTTCTGCATTTTGCAATACTTTTCTTTTTGCAGCGCAAATAAATGTAGGATGGATTTCACTGCAAACTAAAAATAAGAAAGAAATATATTTTGCTTAATGAAAACTAAGGCTGTTTTTAGAATCGCTTTTTCTTTCTCACATAATTGAATGACCGATAAGCACATTTAAACCCAAATTCACATTATTGCAAGAAAATCTCTCGCTCGTTCCCTGTCATACAGTCAAGAAGAAACGCAGCCTGCCCTGAGCGTGTCGTACTTCATCACACAATTGACATAAAAAGTAATTACGCTTTCATAAAGAACATTTATTTTTGCATTAGCTTCATGATAATTAAGAGCATTCTCGTCACTGAAATGCAAAAAAAAAAAAAAAAGTCATTTGTAAATCGTATTTATTCATAATGGCAGTATTTGCTAAACTGACCGTAATGAATGATGATGATGATAAAGATGGCTAGTGTACATCTGAAATGTCTTTTATAACTTTTTGTTAATTGCATACCGTGTCAAATTTATTCAGAGATTGCCAAGAAAATAGCCTTGATGCTGGCATGGCGTTATAAAGTGAATGAATGAATGAAGACGACAATGATAAATTGTATTACAGTAAGAAAAATCTTTAGGAAAAACATAACTAAAACACTACTGTAAAGGAAGTTGGATATAATATCAAACTTAATATGTAGAAATTTGGTGCAATGTAGTAGAGTATAAAAAGTGTTTTGCATTACAATAATGAGAATGAGAAAGTAGAAGAAATCTAAATGGTCCTTAAAGTTTGGTAATATAATTATCTTTTCTTTTCTTAGATGTTGTGGTGAAATTTGTGTGTGATGTATTATGTTGTTTTTCCTGCAGGCAAGCGCAGGTTCAACATCAAGCTGTGGAAGACGTTCACCGACTGCTTCAACTGTCTGCCGATCGCCGCTATCGTGGACGAGAAGATCTTCTGCTGCCACGGAGGCAGGTTTAGCAGCGCTGCCTCGTTAGCGTTAACGAGCGATCACAGACACATCTAACGCTCCTGTGTTTCTCTTCTGAAGGGCTTTCTCCAGATCTCCAGTCGATGGAGCAGATCAGACGCATCATGAGACCCACGGACGTACCTGACACAGGTGACACACACACACTCACACACACACACACACACACACACATGTTGTGTTTCCATGTTTTATGGGGACTCTCCATAGGCGTAATGGTTTTTCTACTGTACAGACCGTATATTCTATTGCCCTACACCAACCCTACCCCTAAACCTACCCCTCACAGGAAACTTTCTGCATTTTTACTTTCTCAAAAAAACTCATTCTGTATGATGTATAAGCTTGTTTTCCTCATGGGGACCTCAAAAATGTCCCCACAAGGTAAAAACGTACTAGTATTACTATCCTTGTGGGGACATTTGGTCCCCATAACGTGATGACTACAGGTACACACACACACACACTATACATACATACACACACACACACACACTCTCTCTCTATACACACACACACTCTATATACACACACACACACTCTATACACACTCACTCTCTCACACACACACACACACTCTATACACACTCACACACACACACACACAGAGACACGCACACACACACACACTCTCTCTCTCTCGCAGCTAAACAGCTAAGCGGTGTTTTCAGAAAGCAAGCGCGTTTATCCACAGTGGAGAGAGAGCACAGGGTTGCCAGGTTGACAAAGATAAGTAACACACTTAGCAGATATTTCCGTATTGCGCAAGTGTAAAGCTCTGTTTTGGGGATTACTTCTCTATATATCAGGCAACCCAGTTGTGTTCCTCTGCTGCCAGATTAAACCTTGTTGTAGCCTATATATGCTCTATTCATTCTTTTTTAGAAACCTCACACTTTTCTACTCAATTTTAAACGTTGTAAAATTTTAAACAAATTAAGCGCGGTCCACTGCTGCACACGTGCCACAATATCGATACAGGGCCAGCTGTATCGATACTCGTATCGTCAAATATCTGTGACGATACATCGTCGTATCGATATTTTGAACACAGCACTAATAAATAACAACGTCTCCGCCATATATGGCCGCTGTCTATGATAGCAGACAAAGCAAAGTACTTTGCTAACTACTTAGCACTCTTTTGGCATCAAATTGCTGAAGCCCTCTTACAACCAGCCTGTGTGTATGTGTCCTAAGCTACCAAATATGTAAACAAGTAATTGGTCTTGATAACCTATCTCTGAAATAGTATTTAGGAGTGGTTGGTTTGGTGATAAAAGCTTCCTCCATACTAGAGACAAAGGTGCAAAACAAACACATCTCTACACTCCTCATGAATCACAGCGTGTGTGTGCGTGCGTGTGTCTCTCTCTCTCTCTGTGTGTGCGTGTGTGTCTCTGTGTGTGTGTGTGTGTGTGTGTGTGTGTGTGCGCGTGTGTGTGTCTCTGTGTGTGTGTGTGTGTGTGCGCGTGTGTGTGTCTCTGTGTGTGTGTGTGTGTGTGCGCGTGTGTGTGTCTCTGTGTGTGTGTGTGTGTGTGCGCGTGTGTGTGTCTCTGTGTGTGTGTGTGTGTGTGCGCGTGTGTGTGTCTCTGTGTGTGTGTGTGTGTGTGCGCGTGTGTGTGTCTCTGTGTGTGTGTGTGTGTGTGCGCGTGTGTGTGTCTCTGTGTGTGTGTGTGTGTGTGCGCGTGTGTGTGTCTCTGTGTGTGTGTGTGTGTGTGCGCGTGTGTGTGTCTCTGTGTGTGTGTGTGTGTGTGCGCGTGTGTGTGTCTCTGTGTGTGTGTGTGTGTGTGCGCGTGTGTGTGTCTCTGTGTGTGTGTGTGTGTGTGCGCGTGTGTGTGTCTCTGTGTGTGTGTGTGTGTGTGCGCGTGTGTGTGTCTCTGTGTGTGTGTGTGTGTGTGCGCGTGTGTGTGTCTCTGTGTGTGTGTGTGTGTGTGCGCGTGTGTGTGTCTCTGTGTGTGTGTGTGTGTGTGCGCGTGTGTGTGTCTCTGTGTGTGTGTGTGTGTGTGCGCGTGTGTGTGTCTCTGTGTGTGTGTGTGTGTGTGCGCGTGTGTGTGTCTCTGTGTGTGTGTGTGTGTGTGCGCGTGTGTGTGTCTCTGTGTGTGTGTGTGTGTGTGCGCGTGTGTGTGTCTCTGTGTGTGTGTGTGTGTGTGCGCGTGTGTGTGTCTCTGTGTGTGTGTGTGTGTGTGCGCGTGTGTGTGTCTCTGTGTGTGTGTGTGTGTGTGCGCGTGTGTGTGTCTCTGTGTGTGTGTGTGTGTGTGCGCGTGTGTGTGTCTCTGTGTGTGTGTGTGTGTGTGCGCGTGTGTGTGTCTCTGTGTGTGTGTGTGTGTGTGCGCGTGTGTGTGTCTCTGTGTGTGTGTGTGTGTGTGCGCGTGTGTGTGTCTCTGTGTGTGTGTGTGTGTGTGCGCGTGTGTGTGTCTCTGTGTGTGTGTGTGTGTGTGCGCGTGTGTGTGTCTCTGTGTGTGTGTGTGTGTGTGCGCGTGTGTGTGTCTCTGTGTGTGTGTGTGTGTGTGCGCGTGTGTGTGTCTCTGTGTGTGTGTGTGTGTGTGCGCGTGTGTGTGTCTCTGTGTGTGTGTGTGTGTGTGCGCGTGTGTGTGTCTCTGTGTGTGTGTGTGTGTGTGCGCGTGTGTGTGTCTCTGTGTGTGTGTGTGTGTGTGCGCGTGTGTGTGTCTCTGTGTGTGTGTGTGTGTGTGCGCGTGTGTGTGTCTCTGTGTGTGTGTGTGTGTGTGCGCGTGTGTGTGTCTCTGTGTGTGTGTGTGTGTGTGCGCGTGTGTGTGTCTCTGTGTGTGTGTGTGTGTGTGCGCGTGTGTGTGTCTCTGTGTGTGTGTGTGTGTGTGCGCGTGTGTGTGTCTCTGTGTGTGTGTGTGTGTGTGCGCGTGTGTGTGTCTCTGTGTGTGTGTGTGTGTGTGCGCGTGTGTGTGTCTCTGTGTGTGTGTGTGTGTGTGCGCGTGTGTGTGTCTCTGTGTGTGTGTGTGTGTGTGCGCGTGTGTGTGTCTCTGTGTGTGTGTGTGTGTGTGCGCGTGTGTGTGTCTCTGTGTGTGTGTGTGTGTGTGCGCGTGTGTGTGTCTCTGTGTGTGTGTGTGTGTGTGCGCGTGTGTGTGTCTCTGTGTGTGTGTGTGTGTGTGCGCGTGTGTGTGTCTCTGTGTGTGTGTGTGTGTGTGCGCGTGTGTGTGTCTCTGTGTGTGTGTGTGTGTGTGCGCGTGTGTGTGTCTCTGTGTGTGTGTGTGTGTGTGCGCGTGTGTGTGTCTCTGTGTGTGTGTGTGTGTGTGCGCGTGTGTGTGTCTCTGTGTGTGTGTGTGTGTGTGCGCGTGTGTGTGTCTCTGTGTGTGTGTGTGTGTGTGCGCGTGTGTGTGTCTCTGTGTGTGTGTGTGTGTGTGCGCGTGTGTGTGTCTCTGTGTGTGTGTGTGTGTGTGCGCGTGTGTGTGTCTCTGTGTGTGTGTGTGTGTGTGCGCGTGTGTGTGTCTCTGTGTGTGTGTGTGTGTGTGCGCGTGTGTGTGTCTCTGTGTGTGTGTGTGTGTGTGCGCGTGTGTGTGTCTCTGTGTGTGTGTGTGTGTGTGCGCGTGTGTGTGTCTCTGTGTGTGTGTGTGTGTGTGCGCGTGTGTGTGTCTCTGTGTGTGTGTGTGTGTGTGCGCGTGTGTGTGTCTCTGTGTGTGTGTGTGTGTGTGCGCGTGTGTGTGTCTCTGTGTGTGTGTGTGTGTGTGCGCGTGTGTGTGTCTCTGTGTGTGTGTGTGTGTGTGCGCGTGTGTGTGTCTCTGTGTGTGTGTGTGTGTGTGTGTGTGTGTGTGTTCCAGGGCTGCTGTGTGATCTGCTGTGGTCAGATCCTGATAAGGATGTTCAGGGTTGGGGAGAGAATGATCGCGGCGTGTCCTTCACCTTCGGAGCGGATGTGGTCAGTAAATTCCTGAACCGTCACGATCTGGATCTCATCTGCCGTGCGCATCAGGTGACCAAACACGTCTCCATCAGCCACATTCACCGATGCTTTACATTTCACACAAATTATACAACAAACGTTTGTTGACTCCGTTCATCAAACTCTAACATTCACAATGTTACCAAAGTTATTATATCAAACATGTTCTTTGAATGATGGGAAATGCAAATGTTTAATTGGTGTTTTTTGCAGGCAGTTGTGGTTTCAGGGTTTACAGAAGGTTTAGTTTGAACTAGTTTAAAATTTAAAACGACATCAAATTACCACTGTAACCAGCAGATGGCAGCAGAGGAGCACTTATAGGCTTATTAGTCACTCATTTCCACTTATTTTGCTTAATTTTGAGATTATAAAATCACGACTGAATCACACATTAAGCGAGGGAAGAGCGCTCCTTTTAGTACTTGTTGGTCAGTTCAGTTTAACACGGTAGAAGAAAATAGTACATTTAATTAGAGTAGTATAAATACATTTTCCATGTAAAGCTTGTGACTGTTGTTAATGAAAGTACATTTTGTATGCTTCCCAACTCAATCTGTGCTTTACTGTCAAATGTGTATTACCAAGAACTAAGCGTAATATTATTAGTGACTGTGGTGGTTTTGTTGGACTGGTTTAGGACGGTCTGCTGTTGTTTTGCAGGTGGTCGAGGACGGTTACGAGTTCTTCGCCAAACGCCAGCTGGTCACGTTGTTCTCGGCGCCCAATTACTGCGGCGAGTTCGACAACGCTGGAGGAATGATGAGCGTCGACGAGACCCTGATGTGCTCCTTCCAGGTCACATGACTTCACCTCCACCGTCGCATGACTTCACCTCCACCGTCACATTGACAATCTCAACCCAAAAAAAGATAATTGTGACCCTGGAGCACAAAACCAGTCATAAGGGTGGATTTTGTGAAATTGAGATTTATGCATCATCTGAAATTGAATAAATAAGCTTCCATTGATGTATGGTTTGTTAGGATAGGACAATATTTGGCCGAGATGCAACTATTTGAAAATCTGGAATCTGAGGGTGCAAAAAAAAATCTAAATATTGAGAAAATCATCTTTAAAGTTGTTCAAATTAAGTTCTTAGCAATGCATATTAGTAATCAAACATTGTTGGCTATTGCTACAAATATGCCTGTGCTGCTTATGACTGCTTTTGTGCTCCAGGGTCACAATTACGCTATAATGCATCAAAGAAATGATGCTTGTTTTTTTGCACCATTACTCTGGTTTTTGCATTTTGACGACATCACATGAACATGATCTTTACTTAATATTCTAATGATTTTTGGCATAAAAGAAAAATGTATAATTTTGACCCATACAATGTATTCTTGGCTATTGCTACAAATATGCCTGTGCTGCTTATGACTGCTTTTGTGCTCCAGGGTCACAATTACGCTATAATGCATCAAAGAAATGATGCTTGTTTTTTTGCACCATTACTCTGGTTTTTGCATTTTGACGACATCACATGACAGTTGAGACCGCTCTCGTTACTGAAATGCAAAAATTGTCCATTTGTAAAGTGTCTCGTAATTGTTATGAGAGGTGAAAGTGTTGAAGTTTGGGCGTTTGGTTGCTGTGTTCTCAGATCCTGAAGCCGTCGGAGAAGAAGGCGAAGTATCAGTACGGCGGGATGAACTCGGGCCGACCCGTGACTCCGCCCAGAACGGCCACGCCCCCAAAGAAGCGCTGAACGGGCGGAGCCTCCGTCGGCATGGAGACTGTCTTGAAAACACACACGCGATGTAGCTAAAGAAACCACACGTATTGTTTTTTCTGTTTGGTTTGGTTTGATTCTGAGCGCCTGTAGCGTCACGTTTCACAGTGTTTGAACTCTCACTCTGCCACATAACGCTGACCTGCTGTTTTTCTAGCTAATCATTTCACTCTTCAGGCCTGTTCGAGTCCAACAGGTTCATAACATCTGGATTTTCAGTAAATAAAGCTTAACAAACCTCTCTGACGTGCCAGTATGTTTTGAAGCCTGTTTATTAGTCCACAGACAGATGATGTGCTGCGAGTGTGCAGCGTCTTGATTCTTGTAAGAGTTCATTAAAACTCATTACTACTTGAACAACTTAAGACAAATACTAAAGCATCTGCTGGATCCCTTTGGCCTGAAGAAGAGCTGTAAGCATTCAATACTCCATAAAGAAAATTACCATCACTTGAAGTATGCAACATCAAAATATATCTGATAAATTACACAACACATTAAATAACTACAGATGAAACATTTCCCAGTTTCACATTAAGCATACTAACTTCGCCAAGCTTGTTATGAGCACATATCTATGCTCTCTCTTGCCCTATACGTCACTCTGTGTTAGCCATTTTATTCAAATTCATACTAAACAATTATAATACATTATATATTAAATTATTTCTGTTTGGACTGAGGCGGTAAGTCAAACTCCAGTGCAGATGCATGCTGGGAAAATCCCCTGGAAATAGGAGTAATATAACAGACAATAGCTGATTTCTGACAGGAATGAAAACGAGGCTGTGAGGGACTGAAGTGCGTTCAGTTGATTCACAGCATACTGACCGTTGTTCAGCTGACCACAAGTCTTTCTAAAGAGTACTAACTAATACTAACGCACACAGTCAGCAGAGGGCGCTGTTCTCCTGGAGAACATTATAATCACAGCAGACCGTCTTTATTTCACATCACTGGTGCTCAGACGCTCTGAATGACGGAGTGATTGTTCCTGTGTATCCACGAGTCTCATTCTCAGCACAGAGATTACCCATGATGCACTGCAGGGCACCGCGTCTTGTTTTTCTGCTCATTTGTTAACCGCGTACTTTCCCTCGTGTTTGTTTAGCAGATGGTGGAATAAAGACGCAGCACGCAGACTGAAGACACGCAGGTCTGGACACGTATAACGTCTGCGGTGATGAATGTTTAGCTCGGTCCAGACGTATAACTCACGGCGTAATCGCAGTCCACACTGACCCGTTCACCGGCTGGGCCCTGGGACCCGCCTGCTTTATGTGTTTGAGTGAGAGCGTGTTTACTGAAAAACCTCCAACTCAAACCAACATTGCATTAGAACATTAGTGATTAAAGTGCATTCAGAGCCCTTCACTGATTCACGTCATGTTGCTGCCTTTCGCTAAAATGCTTTTATTTTTCATTATTTGTGTCACATCGGTCTGCTCTATAGCTCATAACGACTAAGCAAACTCTGCAAATGTGTTAAACAGAAGAGAAACATGCGCCTGACTGTTGCTTTTCAGTCCTCGGGCAGACGGCATGTTTTTATTAAATAAATATGTAAAACAAACACACTTAACCGCTTGTATTTTTCCATGCAGTGAGAATAAGCGCGACACGAGATTTAAATAAAAACAGATGGATCTGATTGTCCTCTGCTCTCTCGCTGCATGTGCTCTGTGTCCGAGTCTCGTCTGCGTTCTCTGGTCTGAGAATCTCAAGCGTCTCACTGTTCGTGAGGTCAAAGGTCAGCGATGACACGTTAGCACAGATGAGATCGGGCGCTCTGATTGGCTAACGCTGCTGTTACTCGTGAACACACTGGACTATCGTTGAACAAACACACCTGAACACACACTGCTTCACGCATCCGGACGAGTTTAAACACGTTCCCTTATGTGGAGAAATCCATCTATTGATGGCTGAACTCTGCAGGCGTTTCACACAGGAACTCACGATATGAAAGATTAAATTATTTAAATATAAGATATGGATTTAGTGCTGATATACGTTTAATTCAATTCAGTCAGAATGTATTGTGTATGCACTTCCTGTTCTGCTGTGAGAAGTGTGGCAGAATTCAGTTATTGTGCATCATGATTATATATAAATATAGAGGTATATAAATACCTGCTATAGCATTTAACCCTGTACACTGTCACCTCAGCCTGAGATGGAAGAGATACACTTCCCAAATGAAAAGGTCACACTCACACACTCACAGACACACACACTCGCTCACACACACACTCTCTCACACACACACACACACACACGCTCGCTCACACACACACGCTCGCTCACACACACACACTCTCTCACACACAGACACACACACACACACACACACTCTCTCACACACACACACACAGATTTTGTGCTTACATATAATTGTCATGGTTAATTGTCGTGATAATAGTATCATAAGGATCATTGTGTAGGGCTTGTCTGTGAGATGAAGTAGAAGCTGCATCAGTCTCTTCCCGTTCATCCGGTGTTTGCTGTGGAGCGGCGGCTGTTGTGTCAATCGCTCTAAAAGCTGTTTGATGCCGGGTTTGAAGTGCCAAACAAAGCCAATCTATGATGTGAAGCTCCGATAGTGTGTGTGTGTGTGTGTGTGTGTGTGTGTGTGTGTGTGTCTGTGAGTGTGTGTGTGTGTGTGTGAGTCACTGATTCAGAGCTCAAATACTCAGATCCAGTTCAACATGTTTGAACAAAGAAGCTTCCAGATGATCTTTACATGATCACCTTCATGATTAACGTCACAGATATTCTTAATCAGAAACTAGATATTTATCCAGAGTTACAGAGTTAAACAGGTTTGTGTTTGAGGTGATGCTCAACATAATGGAGGCGTAATGTGCGTGTTGTGTGACCAGTTAATGCAGGAGTTCATCAAACAGGAGTTTGATTGTCATGTTCTTGCGATATCTGAAGGCATTTGATTTTCAAAGCAGCTCCTTGTGTGTTTGTGCCAACAGAGAGGATCTCATCGTCATTATCATAATCATGTCAATCAAATCAAAAGCTGAACTGGTTTCTATTTGACATGTTAAACATGAAACATGGCGCTCATGGCGTAAGATGATGAAAAAAAAAATTATAAAATGGCCAAAGATGCCCTTCTGATGTACACAGGCTTAGAAATAAAGGGTCCAAAAGGGTGCTTTTCCTTAGAAGAGCCAGTTTTGGTTCCCTAATAGACCTTTCAGTGGGCAGCTCTTAAAAAATAAAAAATAACTAAATTCTTAGTGTGATTCTTAGAGCATTTCATAATCAAAATAACCTTCTTCCACTACGAAGAACCATTTGTGCAATGTTTCCTTTGTTCCTATTTTCCCGCCACTAGTTTGTCTCCATAGTAACTCATTAGTTCCATCACCTGTCTGTAGTTTGTTTCATGTATTTAAGCCCTGAGTTGCTTCAGTGCAGTGTGTTGCTGTTTCTCGTATTAAAGCACCTTCTCACCGTTCCTCATCATGCGCTTCATTTGTATTGTACTACACACTAGCTATGTTTCCAGCCACCTATTTTTTGCGCATTTTGGAATATCGCTTAAAACACGCTGAATGGAAACGCCAAGATGCAAATAAATTCTAAAAATGCGCACAAAAACATATACGCTCAATTGAGTAGGATAAACGTTTTATAATGATAAGAAAATATGCGCATAAGCTACGATGGAAACACATTTACTGAATAAATTCCAGCATGCGCATTGAAAAAGTCATGTGAGTTTGCGCTATGAGACGGATAACTCGACTAACACCGGACCGATCTCGCTCACAGCATCTAGATGTTGTTTTGGTCGTTCTGAAATGCCTGAGGAAAGTCTGTCATCAAAGCATTTCTGTATAATTGTCTTACACAACTGCGTTCCCAAACAGCAGCATCCTCCGAAAGCATTGACCGCATTTATTGTGTTACATCTGCTCTCTCCGAGGCGCAAATAATTGATCATATATGAAAATTACTATATTCAGTGGCTTCTCCTATAGTTTTCTCAGTGATATGAAGTGCCAGTTTATCAGGAAGTGACGGGTTTGTTCTCTTTGACTCGTTGGATGGAAACTGCTTTATTCGCAAATGTTTTATGCGATATT